AACTTCAATTCGAGTCGGATTTTACAAAACTGAACTTCTGCCAAAACACTCTTAAATATACATAAGTTTTTGAACATAATTAAATCTGCAATTGATATAAATTAGTAGCATATTAATTTATTGCTTTATAAACTTTCTCATAAACTTCGAAGATATAGGCACCTCCATTCTGTCCTGTTCCTACTCCACTTTCACTCTGATGAGAAAAAGCATCAACTTTGGAGTTGGAATTGCCCATCTCTGATATCAACCATCCCAAAATACTTACTCTTCAGATTCTCCTGAACATATCCATAACATGCGAGCTTACAGAAGACTTCTCAGAACAAGTACTACATAAGGATTATAGCATGATCCTCATAGAAGATACTCATTATTTTTAGATTTTCAGATTTTGACAGAGTATCTTATTTAGTCATCAAGATTCTCTTCGAAGACCCTAATACAATGGTTTGAAGATGGTGTTCATCAAAATTTAAAAATAGCATTTTAGAACACTTTCTTTTCAAAGCCCATAAAATCCATAGATCCCAATGTTTGTCACTGGAGAACTCCGTTCGGATTGACATCCATCTTTTCAGCATTTACAAAAGTAGAAGCCCTCTCAAATTACATAGATTCATGTGGAATCCTCTCAATTTTGTTCAATTTCGCCTGTATCCAAACCTTCTCATGATCTTACTCAGAGTACATCACGGTCGTTCTTCGAACAGCTTCACATAAACTTATCAAAAGCCTTATAAAATTTCACCGGCATTCTCGATGCAAATACTTAGGAGATTCTTCGGCAGATCTACATTCATCATACAGAAAATCATGTATCCTTAAGGTTTCCTAAAAAACATAGGAATTAGGTTTGATATTTTGTTGTTCAACGATTCGATATTCTTCTCACAAGATACAGATAGAATTTTCTTTGATGTTCATATAAATGATCATTCTGCCAAACATATTCTGAATCCTTGCAGTTCTGAAGAAAATCCTCAGATCCTTATGTTTTTCTACCAAAAACTTGCATGGAATTAGTATTACTCTTTCTTGGAGAACCTCCTTACAACAATCTCCAGGTGTTACTTTTATGATCAAAAAGATCCTGGCAAAAACTAGAAATAACATAGATGTAAGAATCGTTACCAAATCCTTTTTTCTCATAAGAAACTAGGAAAAGACTTCTGAATTTTTATCTGCGGAATGAGCATTCTCAAAGATGCATGTCATATTTGTAGCGCTTGCTCTCACAAGAGACGAGATCCCTTCGATACCGACGATTTCTTCTCTTTTTTGTTCATTGTAGTAATTCCAAATATTCCAGCCAATGCCCGATGGGCACAGAAGGGAGTGACTGTTGCTGGAGGTCATGGAAAAGGCAGTGCCACCAATCAACTCGACTGGTCTTATGGTCTCTTCGTTGATGATGATCAAACGATAGTCATTGCTGACTGGGGCAATGATCGTATCATCCAATGGAAGATGGATGATAAGAATGGACAAGTAGTAGCTGGTGGCAATCGCCAAGGAAATCGATTGGATCAATTGAATCTACCAACCGATGTGTTGATTGACAAAGAGACAGATAGTCTCATTATTTGTGATCGAGAGAATCGACGAGTCGTACGATGGTCTCGTCGTAGTGGGACAATTCAAGGAGAAATCCTCATCAACAACATCGCTTGTCGAGGATTGGCCATGGATGATCAGAGATATCTCTACATCTCTGACACCGACAAACATGAAGTAAGACGATATCAAATAGGAGACAAGAATGGAACTATTGTGGCTAGTGGCAATGGCGGAGATGCTGGTCTCAAACAACTCAACTGGCCGACCTACATCTTTGTCGATCAACAACAGACTGTCTACGTGTCAGACAACAACAATCATCGTGTGATGAAATGGAATAAAGGTGCAAAAGAAGGAATTGTTGTCGCTGGAGGTCAAGGCAAAGGGAATGCTCTGACACAATTGTCGCATCCTCAAGGACTGTTCATCGATACATTGGGTACCATCTATGTGGCAGACTCGTTGAATCATCGAGTGATGCGTTGGCCTAAAGGAGCGAAACAGGGCACTATCATTGTGGGTGGAAATGGTCAAGGAGAAGGAGCAAATCAGTTCAACGGTCCCTGGGGTTTGTCCTTCGATCGACATGGCAATCTCTATGTCATCGATAAAGCTAATCATCGTGTTCAACGATTTTCAATCGAATAGACTCGTCGTGATAGATTTTTTTTCTTTCCTTTCATTTCAAATAAATCGCATTGGATTGATGAAATGAATGGCTTATTCTATTCGCGCGCGCGACCAGGAACCATCCTGGTGGAGCCGTGGCGAGCGTAACGCTCATGCACGTACAGGACAGACTCATATCATTCATACCCTTCCCGCGAGAGATATGTCAATGAGTCTGAATAAGCCTGGTCGTGTGCCACGGACACCAAAATAGTTCCTGGCCGGGCTTTTAGGGACTGCCCGGAAGTCCTGTAAATAAGAAGAACCTAACCTCAACGAACATAACTCACCCCTCCCCCACTAACACTCACTTTCCTTAGTCTCATCCTAACCCCTCAATCTCACTACCTATTCTCATCTAAAAAAAAACAAAAATGACTTACCGTGTCTGATGTTGATAACGCGATGATATTGATAGCTGAAAGGAACAGAAAAAAAAATTTAAACAATGTTACTTAATGAAATAGAATGAGATGACTTACCCTAATGTTATCGTTTTCTTCATTGTTTATTCCCTAAAATAAAATAAAAACAATAAAAAGATCAAAGGAGGCCTTACCCCACCATCCCTTATGATCGTAAAATAAAAAAAAAAAGTAAAACTAATACCTACATTTCATTTTATTGTCTGGTTTGTTGTTGAATTGTTTCATATTGTTTGGTTGAAGCCAATCTAAAACAGAAAAGAAAAATGAGTATTATTTGATTCAAAAATTTGAATGATTTTACATAGAAAATCATTCGTATTTATACCTTGAAAAATCATTTTTTTTCTCTCGTCGAAAATGATATACACATTTAATTGTACATGTTGATCATTGATCGTCAATGATAACAACATGAACAATGAATTATGGACGAGAGAAAGACAAAAAAGAAAAAGAAAATTCCTCTCTTCACATATATTTCTTTTTTCTTTCCTTTCTCTCTTGTTAACATTAACATATAATGATTTATTTATGAATTTTTTAGATTTTATCTCATTTGGAATGCAAATGAAATTGTTTTGTTTATTTTTATTAATGATAATCAGTAACAACATTTATGTATAATTATTTTATTTGTTATGATAAAATACAAAATATATTACATCAGACAAACTATTACTTAAGTAGACATACTTAATGTTAAAAAAGTTGATTCAATTTCATAGACTGTCGAAAAAAACAAAACAATGGAAGTTTTTAAACACTTAGATTTTTACAATAATATTCTTTTTGGATGAACATATCTAAATATCAACAAAATTTTAGATCAAAATAATTCATTACAGAAGTTTGAAAAAATCTTTCTTTGTTAGGTGGATTTATCACAACAGAAAAGAATGAAACAAGATATATTCTTCTTCTGAATAAAAATTTATTTATATCGACATCAAGATCAACAATTTGTTATTCATGTACAAGTATGTATTAATCAATAAAGAAAAAAAGATTAAAAAATATATATATAATAATGTTTTTAGTGATTTGGAGAATTTTATGTTTAATGAATAATGTTGATAAATTCATTTGTACAATTAATTTAACTAATAATTAAACAACAACATCGTCAGATTTCTTCATTATTATTATTTTCATCATCAACATATGATTAATAGTCCATTACTTGGTTTATTATTCAATACAACTATTAAAACGAAAATATGAATTAATACTATACCAAATTCGGAAACATTTCAATATTAATAAAAATGAGTATGTATTAGATGACAATATTGTTATAAAGAACAAAATATTAACATATATAATTAGTATTTAATTGGAATGGAATATAAGAGAAATCGAATGAAAATTAATATTAATTTTACAATATTATTAAATATTATTCAAGTAAGATAATTATTCAATGAAATATATTTTACTAGTTAAAAAAAAATTATAGAGTCAAAAAAAATACATCATAAAATGATTAAGTACCAACAGACTCGATATTTTTTCAAGATTTTACTAGTCAGATGCTTAAAAAAAAATTTATGTATAGTTTTTCTACAAGCATTATTTGATTGTTCGATACGATAGCAAAGTCTGAATACAAACTCGCTTCTCAACAATCAAACAATAGCTTTGAAAAAGAATGCATAAATTTGTTTCTGCTTGTTTATCAGTCGAATAAAACCATTAGAAAAAAATTATCGAGTTTAACGAGATTTGATACCTTTGACGTATTTCAATTTTCATAGACTATTATGGAATTCTTCTTGTACTAAACCAGAGTTGCTAGATCGAAAAATTAGAAATCGAAATATTTTAACCAAAATTCGGAATTTTTTATATTCTACTTCGGAAAAAATTCGGAAAGCAGTTGTTCCATTATCAGATATATATACCACTTTTTCTATGGGTATATGTGTTGCTCTATCAGCATTTTGTGCAAAAATTGTTGCCGATATACTTATTTCTTTCTTCAATCTCGTGTAAATTCACATCTGAATCATCATCTTCATCATTCATGGCTAAATTTAATTCAGGCTAACAAGAGACAATTTTCATGTAAAAAAACACTTTTCTAAACTTAAAGTTCAGTCCATGTCAAAGAAGTTATTGATTCAAATGACATATTTTTTTTAAACAATACAAAGTATTCATTGAGTTCGGATAGATTTTAAACTCAAACGATCTTACATTATAAATAGTCTTGATACTGTATTATGGAATGATTACAGTACAACATAATCATAATGGCCACATGGGCATGTCATGGCATAAATTATATTCGATGTAGTACATGTCTAAATTTTAAGCATAGCCGATCGATAGAAAATTCAATATTTAAGGATAACGTACTGCTGGACAATTTAGATAGGTAGTATAACCATTGAGAAATCGATGCATTGAACTTGAAGCAAAATTAACAATTGACCATGGTTGACTTTTCTTGTAAGTATTTAATGGAAGACAACATTGACAAAAAAGATTACCACATGGAACCAATGAATATCTTGCTTGAGGTTCATCTCTTCCACAAAATAGACCTTCTATATTAGATGGAGGTTGAGCTTCTCGAAACGAACAAGTTTTCATATAGAATAAATCCACTAAAAAATATGAAACATATATATTCTTCATATATATATCGACATGAAGACTAACCATCGATTTGTAAATAGAATTCCAATGCCATAGCCATTTGTTTCGAATTGGGTGGTGGTTCTTTTAGAGCATCATCACTCTTACATAGAACATATCGTCGAAATGATTCATGGAATGCAAGAAGAGTATGACAGATGCTACGAAGTCGTTGTGCATTGAAAGTAATTATTGATTTGCCTACTTGTAATCGTGAAGCTAATTCATTAGCATCTTGTTCAGATAAACTAAATTCATCGGAATAATTGTACTTATTCATCAGCATCAGTGCATCGAAAGTATAGGCTCCATATTGACGTCGATTAATTTGATGAGGTGCAAGACGATTAACTAAAAGACAATGAAATGAAATGATTTATAATCAATTTATATCGAACATATGAACCTGGTACATTAGCCAAAAGTAAACACTCATTTGGACCAACGTATTCTGTTGGAAATATAGGTAAATAAGCATATCGTCCATTCTTTTTATCTAATAATGTTCTTGATTGATATTCTTGTTGTTCATTATTAATTAAAAAAGAAGTAGCTTGTTCTGCTCGAGTTAAATCAATTGTATTGAAATCCATATGCAATAGAAAATATTTTGAATTTTTGCTATTCTTTCGTATTTTATACCGATTATATTTTTGTTTTTCTGCGTCAAGATTCTATCTGAAAGAGAGAAGGATATGAATGAAAAAAAAGTTTTTGTTTTTTCCTATCTAATTTCTTTTTTTTCTATATGATTAAGAGCAAAGTTTATTCTACGTTAAAAATTTAGTAGATATATATAACTAAGAGAATAAAGAACAAGAAAAAGTTTTTCATTATAAAGTTCATTTGTTCTCTTATATAGTCCGATAGATTATTTATTTCATTTCGATAATATGTAATATTCGTGCGATATTATATTGAGCACGATGAACCATATTAGTTTGACGATTTTCAATAGCCGTAATAATTGTATCAACTGTGGGTAGTTTCTTAAATTTTTTCCCATTGTTTAATATTTTTGTTTTCTCATCGATTGCTTTTTGAAGGTAGGTTTGAGCTATTTCTTCAGCAACAGATATCGTTCGTATTGCTAAATCATTTATGAATGTATGAGTTGATTTCATTTTATTCATTGTTACATGTATTGTTGATAAGCATTGTTTGTCAAAAAGAAGATTAATCAATATAGTGTTGATCTTTGTTAATGCTAAATCTTGAAAAGCACAACAGGTAGATGAAGATTTATCAGACAACCATTTTTTGAATATACCAATTTCATATCGAAGTTTTTGTTTATCATCGGTAACTTTCCAAATAATTTTTGCTGAATGTATCTAAACAGAATGAAAGAAAGAAGAAAAATGATATTTATTGAAGATATATATACAGGGTGGCCCAAAAATCATGTCACCGAGAAAAAATTGAGTATCTCCATCACGGCTTGACCAAACGGGCTCATTTTTTTTTACCAAGGATAGAGGCATATTCACACTCCAAGTCCATACGGATAAGGTTAGTGAGAACCTTTGTTAAATATCACTGTTAACCTCAACAAGAAAATTTTACTTTTTCACAGATAGGAAAAGAAAACGATATACTTAACAAAGATTCTCACTAATCTTGTCCGAGTGGATTTGGCGTGTGAAAATGCCTCTATCTCTGGTAGAAAAATCAGCTCATTTGCTCTATCTGTAATAGAGATATTCAATTTCCTTCTCGATCAAGTGACTTTTGCATCATCCTGTATACTGGTTTTTTCCTACATGTGAAAAAGCAACATTTTTTTGTTGAGGTTAATAGTGATATTTAACAAAGGCTCTCACTAACCTTATCCGTATGGACTTGGAGTGTGAACATGCCTCTATCCTTGGTATAAAAATGAGCCCGTTTGGTTAAGCTGTGATGGAGATACTCAATTTTTTCTCGGTAACATGACTTTTGGACCACCCTGTATATATATATATATATATATATTGACAGACTTCAGTTTGTCTAGGTTTTAATTGATAAAAAGCTTCAACTAGGTGATGATCTTTTGCATCGAATTTAAGCATACTTCTACGTCTTTGAAGTTAACGTTTTTGAATCAGATTCCACATAGTTTCAGTTAATTGTTGATTGGATGGATGCATTTTTTGAATGTCATGCAATTCTTTCATTGCCACATCATATTGCTTTTGATATTGTTGTTTTTGTCCTTTAGCACATTCCATATAAGCAATCATCATATTGCTTCGTGCTTGTTCAGCTACATTCTTGTATTGTTTGTACAATTCTTGTCGAGTTCTTGACTCACGAATACTTTTGATCCATGATAATTTTATTATGGATTCATGTTCAAATCGATGTGAAATTAAATGTGAAGAAATTTTTTCTTTCAATAATTTGACTTCGCATTTCGTCATTTCTTGATTATATTTGAGCTTACATATATGTTTCATTAATTGTATCTAAAATAGTAAGATAAAATAAGCTCGATATAAAAGAAGTTTACTTGATTTGCATTAGGATTTTGAGCAAAATAAGTTTGTTGAAATATTATATCGGTATAATGATATTGAACCGTGGCAATATGTTCATTGATTTCAATATGTAAAGATTGAAGTCCTTGTTGTACAAATTTTTCAATGGTATATTCGATGCTACGGTTATAACCAGATAAACGACTGGTCTTGACATTTAATTCGCGTCGATAATGTTCCTTTTTATTGTACAATTCTTGTAAACATTGATTGACGAAAACTAAACAACTACTTTCATCAATAATATTATCATTTTTTAATTGTTCCATGAGTGATGAAACTTCTTTTGGCCAAAGTTTTGTATCGGATTCATTGATTGGTCGTTTGGATTGTATTTCTTCCACACCATATTTTCGATAGACTATCCAGAGAGATTGTACTATGTCAATCGACATAATTTTATGCATGAGAATAGCAATATCTCTTAATTCATCTAAATTCATCGTTGATGGTAAAATAGTTCGAAGTTTCTTTTCAAAAGATGGATTTTTTGAACAAAGATAGTCGGGTATAGATTGCGATTCACTACCAATTGTTTTCGAAAGAATGATTTCTATAGGAAATCTTGTTATCTGTTTTTTTGTTGAATTGATTTTAAAAGGTGAAAATTGGCCAAGCTCTTGTGATAGGACTTGTTCATTGACTATCTAAGAAGAAAATCATTGTTCATAGAATAGAAAGATCTTTGTTATTCTTCTGTCTTACTTTTGCATCAGAAACTGTACTACGACGGGTAATAGTTTTAGTAGAATTGAGATTTGATGTTGTCATTGCCATTTGAAATTGAATGGGATACAACAAAACAAAGATAGAATTCTGAAAATGATATCTAGAAGGAAAAAAGAAAAGCAAAACATCAGAAGATAAATTTGTTTACTACTCGAAAAACAAACTATGAAACATGAGACAAAAAAAGAAATGAATGAAGTGTTACAATAGAACAACATTCTACAGTATTGCTTAAAATGAACAATCGAGAATGTTAAAGTGAGTAAAATCTATAATAAGGAACAGATCGTTATTCTTGAGACGAAGCATGAATAAATTTAATAATTTGTTGAGTACGTTGTTCGATATTATCGAGACGAGCTTGAATAATAGCACGCATTGAAGGAGAAAAATATTTCATAAATGATAATTGATTCTTTTGATCATTACCAACAATGTCGAATTCATTTTGTTTCATATTTGTTATTGAACGATTACCTGGAATTATTCCTTTAACCATAACTTGATTACTCCTTGTCCAACGTTTCTTTTGTTGACTAATAACCTTCTCACATGCTCTTGATTTTGATCGCCAAATTTGTTGAGCAGAATAAACCTATAAGAAGAAGAATAAGAGAGAGTTAGGTTAAATAAAATATTCACCTGTTCTTCTATTGGATTTAAATCATAGAATGATTTGACAAGATATACATCATGGATATCATACGTAAATAAGATTTTCTTCTGTTCAAAATTTGTATTGAAATGATGCAAATCATTTTGTATGAGTACAACAAGAGCATTGCATATAATATTCATCCATTGTTCAAAAGACATTTTATCATCGTTCATTTTTAAGTATGATGAATATCGTTGTAAATAATTGTATAATTTAATTTCTAGTCGTTGTAAGAACGGGGGCGCATAAGATAGGGAATCGGCCCATTAGTGTTTTTCTAGACTACACCCATTGAATCATATACTAACCGAGAGAGTAAAGTGAGACTAACGTTTTGGTGCTAAATTCATGAAGTTTTAATCGAATTTCAAAAGCTATAAGCTATCAACAAAATGACTCATTTTTTGTCATTTATCCATATCTTTCAATGAATCTTTCAATGCAAACGTTGAAGGTACCAAAATTCTCATTTAGCTCATTCGATAGCGCTTTTCAAGAGCTACAATTTGATTATATTTATAATTAAAAAAAATTTGGCCCATGGTACATCATAGGGCGACAATGGTTATCATATACCTTTTTTTTCATTGTCTGTAATGTTTCAA